ACCGCAGGTGCTTGAAATCATCATCCACGTGGAATATTTTGATTTCTGATCGGGTTTGCAGTGATCCGGCTGGTGCTTCCATATATTTTTGATGAGAAAAATGAAGATTTATAAAATTGTCCCAGCAGTTATGATCTTCCGGATTTTTAATGTATGGTTATTTCAGCTGTTAATCAATTCAGATCTGAAGATAATCGAAAAATAAGACCACTCCCGATGGAAATTTGCAAGTTGTGCCATAAAATGTACGCTATTTTACGTTTTGAAAATCGTCATTATGATGTAAACAAATGGATTGGATGACATTTCCTCTCAAAATCGGCTAGCGCACTCTTCATTGATGGTTCATAAAAATAGCCTATTGAAAACTAGTTAGAACCTGAGTACGGCGAACTCAGCTGATTTTATTTTTCAAGTGAGCTAGAAAACATCTTGAAAATCTTCCGAAGTTTCAAATTGTTTTGCTGAAACAGCTCACGAAATTGTATATACATGCTGTCAAATGAACTCTTGGCTCCTCCTCCTCTGCTCCAGAAATAACGTATACGTGGTGATGGGAGTGCACCTGCCCACAAAGCTCACATGACTCTTATAAAGTTTGATTACATTCTTGTTTCAACAACCCAGTTTTTGCATTATTAATATCACATAAAAACACTTTTTCGAGCATCACGCTCGATGATTTACACTATCCGTCTACTAAGGTTGATGTTTCGACAGTTTCATAATTATAATTCTTAATTTTGTTTTCAGTAGAGGGCAACACCTTTACTTGTGGTTCAAACAGTAACTACCGACGTGTCTTCTGAGCTCTTTTGAATGTTTGGCTCCCGTTTGACAGTTTGACTCGGCTCCCAGCGGACAAGCGTTTTGAGTTAGTTCGCTGTACTCAGGTTAGAACCAAATCGACTTCGGTTTGGCATCTTGATGTCATTTGTGACAACCAGGGCCCCACAAAGTCACTTTCAATCGAAAATCGCCAAGCGACGATGAAGCTGTCAACCATCACTTTCAATTGAAAGTCATTCTGTCTTCTCGTCGAGCAGATCCCCGTCAACATCAACAGAACCACTTTCGATCAGTTTTCATGCTGTTTGTTTTGGCTTGACTAGCCTTCATTTCTTCTTTCATAAGGTTTTGCACCGACGGGGTTAACCTCAATCTGATGACAGTTCAGTGGTACGTGGTACTGTTTACGTGGACTTAGTCGATTTGTTCTTGGGTAGATTTTCTGGATATTTTTTCAGATTGCAGTGAGATGTAAACCAAACTTTTGCAATGTCCATGAGCCACATCCTTTCGACGCGTTGTTCCTCGACAATTTTCAAGTTAAAATTCGCCGTGCTTGTAAACAGTACCACGGTGAAAGGATGTTGCTCGTGGACAATGCAGAAGTGTGGTTTACATCTCACTGCAGTCTGAAAAATTATCGAGAAAATCCATGGCGGCTTCCAGTTTAAGAAAAAGTGGGAAATGCTATCATATACTTATCAATAAAGGTATTTTTTGGAATCGGGATGATGTCTAGAGGATGAAAATCGATATTCGACGCCATTTTGAAATCGAAGATGGTGTCAAATACACATCAATATTGATATTTTTGTAATCGATATGAAGTCTACAGATCGATGGCGGCTTCAGATTTTAGATTAAGTGGGAAATACTGTCAAATACCCATCAGGTATTTTTGGATTGGACGATCTTAAATTTCTACTGGAATTATCCAATGCATTTACGTACACGGCTCTTATTGCTGCTGTTATTCCTAAAGTATATGTGCTCTTACCTCTCCTCCCATCATTCTCTCCAGCTTACCAGCTCAGCTCCGGATCCGAATCATCGGCTCGAATGATTCACTGACAGTACAGCCAACAATCAATACAAAACTAACAATTTTAAATTGGCTCACTAACTGACTAGCCTATTGGTCCCAAGCAAACGATTACCCATTCTAGTCGAAATTCTAGTACTACGCAATGTTTGTTTTGATTCGCTATGAAAGTTTGACAGATAAAATGAGGGGTTATTGGTTTTTCCTATGTTTCGAGGGGTGAATCGATTAGCTTGGGACCGAAGAGAGTACCAGGACTGAGCCAAAAAGTTGAGCACGTTATTTCGGGACCTTCTGGTCTTAGAGTTACCTCTATGGAAGTACTAGTTGTCTCTCTCATTCCTACGCAAATTTTGCTCCGCTCCGCTAATGCACGCTCAGATCTGAATACACTACTAGACTTATGATATCAGTGAGCTGATGAGCCACGGACCATCAGCTGATTTTAGTGACTCGAGTCTATAGAACAGCTCGAGAGCCCATCTCTAGATCTGAGCTGATGATCGGGAGCTGAAACCAAGAATAGTGAGAGCAAATCTGCTGAAGAATTTACATCAGAAATAAAATCTGTGTGTAGACTGGATTACATAGCTTGAGAAAAGGCGTAACATCGTCTAACACGATGTCGATCATATCATCGCGTGTGACATTTGTGTCAAAATTTCTATAATTTCAAGGTGAGCTAAAGAGCTGTCCCAATGAATCGACTCCCTTTAATGAGCTGGATGGGTCTGATCCGCTCAGCCAGATGAGTTAATTTACCCACCTCTAGCAACAATCAATACGAAATTATCGATTTGAAATTGGCTCACTACTTGACTACCCTAATAAAAATTGTATGGTTAATTTGCTTAACGACGTGTTCTGGGTATCATCCAAACCATTTATGGAATAGTTCGATGATTTGGGTTATCGTTCGTTTATGGTTATTTTTTATTAGGGTAGCCTATTGGTCCCAAGCAAATCGATTAACGTACCCCAATCTAGTAAAAATTCTAGTACTACACAATGTTTGTTTTGATTCGCTATGAAAGTTTGACAGATAAAATGAGGGGTTATTGGATTTTCCTATGTTTCGAGGGGTGAATCGATTAGCTTGGGACGGAAGATAGTACCAGAGCTGAGCCAAAAAGTTGAGCACATTTCTTCAGGACCTTCTGGTCTTACAGTCTAGCGTCTAGAGGCCAGAAATCGATATCCGACGCCATTTTGAAATACAATATGACGGCTTCCTATTTCAGAAAAAAAAATGGAAATGCTGATGCCATCCCATCAATATGGGTATTTTTGGAATCAGGGTGACGTCTGGAGATTGGAAATCAATATCCGACGTCATTTTGAAATCCATGATGGTGGCTTCCAGTTTGAGAAAAAGTTTTAAATTCTATCAAATATCCATACAAACGGTTTTTTTTTTTAGAATCAGGGTAACGTCTAGAAGCCGGAAATCGACATCCGACGCCATTTTTTAATCCGATTTGAGGAAAAGTATCAAATATCCTAAAATATGGTTATTTTCAGAATGGGAATGAGACGTAGATACCGAAAATTGATGTCACGCCGTCTTTAAATCCAAGATGGCGGCTTTGGTTCTGAAAAAACTGTGAAATACTGTCAAATACCGATCAATGTGGGTTTTTTGGAATCGGGCTGACATCTAAAAGAAAGAAATAGATGTCCGACGCCATCTTGAAATTCAAGATGGTGGCTTCCGATTTCAGAAGAAGTGTCAAATAGCCTACAAATGGCATCGAATATCGATTTTCAGCATCTACGCGTCGTCCTCGTTCCGAAAATACCCATATTGTAGGGTATTTGACACTTTCTGAACCCTGATGGCCGCCATATTTGATTACAAAGTGGTATCTGATATCGATTTTTGGCAACTAAGCGTTGTCCCTGTTCCGGAAATAACCATATTGTAGGGTATTTGAAACTTTTTCTGAAACCCTATGGAGTCCAACATAGCATCGGATATCGATTTTCGGCAGCCACGCGTTGTCTTCGTTCCGAAAATACCCATATCTTAGGTTATTTGACACGTTTTATGAAACTTGATGGCCACCATATTGGATTCCAAAATGGCGTCGAATATCGATTGTCGGGATTCCCGTTCCGAAAATACCCATATTGTAGGATAGTTGATGCTTTCTGAATCCTGATGGCCGCCATTTTGGATTCTAAAATAACGTCGAATATCGATTTTCTGCACCTTCGCGTCGTCCCCGTTCCGAAAATACCCGTATTGTAGGTTATTTGAGACTTTCTCTGACCCCGATGGCTGCCATCTTGGACTCCAGAATGGCCTCGTTAATTTAATTTTCGTTTAATATAAAATAATATATTATAACTACATATAATCCGGATGCCATTCCTATCGGCAACCGATATTGTGTGGATACGTGACAAGTCGAATGAGCCCCGAATTGAAGTGAAAGTGGAAAAAAAACGAAGGAAGCAGTTTTCGAGTCATTCATTGCGTCAATTGAAACAAGTCTTTGCTTGACAACTGTGAAACGCAGTGTGCATGGGTAAAAAATATTGTTATTAGTCCCACCATGGATTCATTATCCGGCATTGAAAAATCAGGGGAATCGCTGGAGCAACGCTGAAAATGACCAACATTGCTCGCATAGCCACACGTCTCCCTCAGCATCAATCAACCCCAACATTACCGGTTGTGATATGAAAAAAATGCTCATCCAAGATAGATTAGAGGCGATCCACGTTTGCCCTATACTTAATACATTAGTTGTCACATTGTAATGCCCTCCTCCTATTAGCGTGACGTACTTAATGGATGCACCATTATCACCCTAACCCTCGAAAAAGTTCTTATGCCTTCCGGGTTCATATCCTTCAGCTCCGTTATCAAAAGTTACATTTCCTCCTATCTGGGCTCTATCCGGTCATTAGAACTTTTAGAACAGCGGAAAGTCAATCAAGCCAACCAAAACAAATACCATCCGACCTCGCCTCTGACTGGAACTGCTTGAAGACATACCAAGTATATTTTGCCTGATTGACAGGAATTGCAAAGACCTTCGAGTAACTCTAACAAATCAAGCCAAAGAATCTAATATAAATTGTAACTGCAAATTCAGAACTTTACCCCACATTTACCACACTTACCAACCACCCTTAACACATGTAATCAAACTGTTTGCAGCGAAATCTGCGAGCTGACCAGCATCAAGAAGGAGGACGTCATCTCGACGCTGCAGATCCTGAACCTGATCAACTACTACAAGGGCCAGTACATCATCTGCATCAACAAGGACACAATCGACCAGCACAAGAAGGCGATGGAGAAGCGCAAGATCCGAATCGACTCCAAGTGTCTGCACTGGACGCCCAAGGACTGGTCCAAGCGATCCAAGTGGTAACAGGTCGGTGCGTTGGCTTTAGTGTTTTATAGTAAAGACAAACTGTGTTCCCCCCACCCCTTTCCTCCCACTCACAATGCAACCAGCCAGCATTAGAGCGCCCTCTCAACTCAACTCAACTCAACCCTTTCTTCCTTCCCATCTACCTTTCTACCTACCTACTTCTGGATGTGTGCGTTTTGCTTATTGTGCGAAAATGTCCATTGTTCAAGAGCACGGGTCCCTCGTGTCGTGTAGGAACGTTTACCCTTCTACCCCAATACCTACCTTAAGGTTCCCAAATTTAAGATTGTAAAGGCTAGATAATAAATTGATTAAGTAATTTAAAGCGAATACCTGGCGGTCGTTCGAACTTGGTGCGATTCTATCACAGCCCCGACTGAATAATCATTCTTATAAGCTTTATTCCACTTAATCGTTCGATAGAGTAATAGGTATTCTAGAGCAACACAAAAATCCCGGAACACACACATACAGTCCCCGCGCCCGCTCACTAGAAATTGAACGTATCCGCACTGAAGTTGGTCGTCGGCGGAGGCGGAGGCAGCCGAGGTTGTCCGGGAAATCCGGCAGGCGGCATCTGCGGGGGCAGTGGTGGCTGCGGAGGCCTCCAGTTTGGTGGCGGTGGTCTCGGAGCGCCTGTCGGCGGCATAGACGGGGGTGTTGGTGGCGGTGGAGCAGGTTGTTGCCACGGCGGAGGTGGAATCATCCTTGGCGGAGCGGGTATTCCCATTGGGGCGCTCGGAGGCAGCGGTGGTTGCCCGATTGGCGGAGGTAGCGGTGGTGGAGGTATCGCTCCCGGCGTGAAATGTGGCGCGGAAGGTGCCTGCGGTGGAGGTGGCACGGCCGTCGGAGTTGGAGGAGGTGGTGGAGCCATCAGAGGAGGTGGCATCATCGGGTGAGACGGCATCATCGGCATGATCGGAGGAGGAACCGGTGCGTCCGCAAACAGCTGATGAGGACGATCCGCATGCGAAAGAGGATTCTGAGCCGCCAGAAGACGCTCCGCGGCTGATCCGTGACGTTCGCCCTTGGAATCCTTCTTGAACGCGTACGACACCGAAATGGGCCGATTGCACAAATACTGACCATTCATCGCATCCATCGCCGCATCCGACGCCTCGAAACTTGCAAAATTGATAAACGCAAATCCTTTCGAGTTACCCGTCTCCGGGTCTCTCATAATCTTCGGTGTCTGCAAAATTACCCCAAACGCCGAAAACGTATCATACAGCAACTTCTCATCCACCTCGGGATCTAAGTTTCCGATAAAGATATTCGCTCCCACGTCCAGATTCTTCTGATGCGCCGAAGCCTTGTTCACACGAATCGGTTTACCGTACAGTTTGATCATGTTCATAATCTTGATCGCATAGTCGGCATCCTCCTCGCCCAGGAACTCCACGAACCCGTAGCCCTGGTGCATCTGCGTTACGCGATCCTTCGGCATATGGACGTTCACTACCGGGCCAGCCTGCACGAACATCTCCCACAGGAGCGTCTCCGAGACCTTATCGTCCAGCCCACCGACGTAGATAGTGGCATCTGTAAACAACGCACAAAACAAGGTTAGGCAAAATTTTCGCTGATCGATTTCCTGGCCGAAAATCACGGGGAATCTCGAGATTTTTGGAACTGAACTGCACTTCGGCACAGGAACTTCACATTCTGCTAGCTTATAGCAAAACAATAAGCGAACTTCAATGGAAAATACAATAAAATACTCACCCTGATTCCGCTCAGCGATCGGACCGGCAGCCATCGTTGTTGTTTTGTGGGTGTTTCGTCGCCGCCGCACCGCAGTGTCAACAAAACGTTTCGCTGTCAAAAATGTACATGATCTAGTACTGGAAACAAGGTAAATGGAGAATAGCCACAGTTGCAGGTTAATAAAGTTTGAATTATTATTCCCGGGATTTTTTGGCTGTTGGAGATTGAGTTGTTTAGGGGTGTTGAGTAGAAATACTCAGAGGGAGAGATAGGCGGAGAAAACAAAATGCAATTCGCTCGACAATTCGGCAGCAGGGATTTGTACCTAAATTATCTTGCAACCCTTGCTACATTCAAAAAATATTCAAATCTAAATAGTATAAAAGCTACGCTAAATCGCAACTCTCCTGACCGACGCATAGGTCGGTATAAAGAGAGAGAATACGAACTTAGTATAAAAATCGTTTATACATGGGGATTATTGGTTGAATGTATAATGTTGGAATATTCGGGCGAATGTATTTAGATGTTGTCAGTTCTTATCAGTGGTATTTTTCATGGACATAGAATAAAATATTAATAAAAGTCAAATTAATTTTGTTAGCCAAGACAAAACGAACTTCATATCACCAATCCATAACCTGCAAGCAGCATTTTTTTGAACCAATTGCATCATAGTCGTGCATCGGCCTCAGGGGTAAATGATTCCCGCACCAGCCATCAACGGTATATGATTTCCTTCCAGTGGTTCCAACAGATCAGGTTCGCAGTTTTGTCTGTTATGGTTGAGGGAACAATTGATGAGCACTTTCAACTCGACATTCAAATTTACCTGCCCTGGATTTAGAAGTGGAATGAATAGGTGAATGCCCGCATAAACAATAACCATAGGAAGCTCCTAACCACCAATTCGGGATATCATCCCAACTTTATGTGTTATGGTCGTTCCATCTATGATAATAATCGTTAGTGTATGGTACCCGTTTATTAGGGTGGTTTTATTTGTTTAGGTTACTTACTGACGCTACTTAAATTTTCACTGATTTTAGTTCGCTGGGATAAATCTCTTTCCTTTAATTAATAAGCTCCGGAATACGTTATGCCTCTGGAGTTTTGTCATCAGACTGTCACTAGTAACTGCTGCACACAATCCGGTATCTGTCGATTGATGATGCCGTTATCGAGTATCCGGTGATTGATAATGGTGATAAGCTATTTGCGCTTGTTGAACGTTCCTTTTTCCGGAAGCAAAAAAACATTCCTTTTGAAGTGGATTTTTAAAATATACAAATGTGTTTGCCTGTAAAGATTCACATGAAATATAAAGTGGTCTTGGTTTTTTTAGGTAGGGTTAGATAAAAAGACATACCTCTCAATGGCCGTCGGAAGGGTCTTTAAGATTCGGATAAGATACAAAAGAATCCGTTGGTTCAGATGCAGTTCAATGTATGCTCTGTCGTTGAGATCAGCAAACGACCTCTCATCAAGTCTCCGCGAACAACCTGACGAGAACCTCTTCAATGATCCTGAAGCACACAACATTCTAGCCATCGGAAGCAATCCACAGTGGAATCGGTGTTCCCCAGTAACAAATGTGACTGATCATCCAAAAACGAGCATCAACGGTCTCTTATACCCCGGACAGACTATGGCTTATATCATGTAATATAGGCTGTCTTGCAATGAGCACTCATACATAGGATTTCCAGTGAAAACTAGATATATAAGTGCTCATTGCAAGACAGCCTATATTACATGATATAAGCCATAGTCTGTCCGGGGTATTAGTCGGGTGATTTCTCCGAATTCCAATCATTCAGCACTTTCCGCACGCGAGGGGATTGATGGACTCATCCGTCCGATGGAACCGATAAAATCTCCTACATCACTTCGAATTATTTTCCACTGCTTTGCTGTCAGCGATATATATACTGAATGATTTTTTCACCGGTATTCAGACTTAGTATAATTTTGAAAAAAATAATATTTGAATCAATGCATATATATTGATTAATCATAAAATGTATAAATTTTAATCATTCTTAGATAAATAATATTTTTGAGTGTATAAGCTAGCATTTTACATGACTTTTACTTTTGATTCAATTTACCTGCAAAATAATAATTGATTGCATCGCATTTGCCATTAATTAACCAACGAACTTGCCAACGAAGATCAATTAATCAATAGAGTTAGAATATTGTTTTTGATTCCAAAAACTAGTTGAATTTGAGAAGCACATGAAAAATAAAGGTGATTGAATTTCTGTTCGATTGCAATACTCTCAAATATAATCTAGTAAGAATAAGAAATCCTCGGACAAATTCTAATGAGAATTTTCGATTGGCTCAGATTTAGGCAGTTCGTTTGGCTCAAAACATTCTCTTCGCCCATGAGTATTTTTAGTAAATACATATTCGTTATTTGCATTAAAAATGGAATCGAAATCCAATATTTCATCAATTTTGGTACACTGGAACCATTTTAAATAAGTACGATCACATTAGCAAAAAAACACCGTCTTAGCATAGAGGTAACTGTAAGACCAGAAGGTCCTGAGTAAAAGTGCTCAAAATCGTTAGTTTCCATCGGTTGGTCTTAGCGCCCCTAGAGGGATGGGTATGGGAGCGAGCTGTCATCGAATATGACCTAAAAATTAATCCTATTTCATGACTTTCCATTTTCACTAAAAACTCAAATAAATTTTTTTTGCCATGAAATTGAGAAGAAAACATCATACGCCATGATAATTTTTTACATGTTGTTAGCCCCGGATCTTCCACTCTTTCAACTGCTTTTTTTTTGCAGCGAGTAACTCACTGTACCTCAAAATTTAGTCGACTTTCATCGATGTTTTCGTCTGGTTACTTCTTGGCTTACTCCGTTTATCCCATTCACCTTTTTTTTTTTCCTTTTGCAAACAAAATTGAATTGTTTGGCTATTGAAACGATCTGGATTCCAGATTTTGTTCAGAAAATGGCTTGAACGATGCTGGAAAAGCTTCAAAAGGGGGCACATTGGCGTGGATTTTCATCTGCTTCTCTGTGCCGATTGGCTGCTGTTATTGTTTTGGAAGTGTTTTTTGTTTGTATTCCTCCGTTTCAAAGCGGTGAATGTGAATTTACTGTAGGTAGGTGCGATTTTTTCTCGTAAAATAACCACAGAGGAGAATGTGAAATCGTTGTAGGAAATCACTGGCATACATAGGAAATATCTTCCCTATTGGATAAAATGGATAACATCTGCCAACCACTACCCCAGAATGTTCAGCCAGAGCATCAACACAGTCGACACTGCTGAAGTCGAATACGAAGAGGACGATGAAGACACAGCTCCCAATATTTCCGGTGAGTACGATCCTCTTCCGGACTTCAAACCCATCATCGATCTACCCGACGAAATCGAAGTGAAAACCTGTGAGGAAGACGAAGAACAGTTCTGCGTTCGCTCCAAGCTACTGCAGATGGTTCAGAAAGAGTGAAAGGGAAGGGTTCTTGGCGATCTGAAGATTCTCAAGAGTAAATCCGATCCAACCAAGTATAGGATCATCGCTATAGACGTTGCTGACGAGAAACCGAAGAACGAAACATGCTCCGAATATAATGAATAATAGCATATACCACCATTCTTATTTCTGACAGACGAGGAATCAATTTTGACAAACGCTTTCTCGAAAATCGGCCGAACAACAAACAGAAGCATTTTCGAACATTTTAATTTGTTTTTGAAGGGTCAAATTTAAGTGAAAATTCGAAAAATTGAACCGAGAATTGAACAGCCTACCCGCATAAGCGCGAACCATAAATTGACCTTACCTAAAATGGTTATAAATTGTTTATAATCCCTGCTAAACTTCAACTGAAATGGTTATGGAACTTTACATGAACGTTTAATGATAAAGTTTTAACCTTAAGTATTATAGTTTTTTGGAAGTGGACCTTACAAATAATGGGTTGTTAAGAACCATTACCATTCAAAATTCTTGTTTTCTCCATACATTTTCGGAAAGAAAACTATACTAAAACCTTTTAACTTATGGTTTGAGAACATTAATGGTAATGGTTATGGTAACCAGTAAAATCCATGAATGGTTTTGTAACATCGATCAACTTTATGTGGAATATATCGCGAATTGGTTGCCTGTAAATTACTGATTACCAATTCACGATATATTTCACGTAAAGTTGAGCGATAATACAAAACCATTAATGGACCTTACTGACTACCATAACCATAACCATTAATGTTCTCAAACCATAAGTAAAAACGTTCTAATATAGTTCTCTTTCCGAAAATGTATGGAGAAAACAAGAATTTTGAATGGTAATGGTTCTTAACAACCCATTATTTGTAAGGTCCACTTCCAAAAAACTATAATACTTAAGGTTAAAACTTTATCATTAAACGTTCATGTAAAGTTCCATAACCATTTCAGTTGAAGTTTAGCAGGGATTATAAACAATTTATAACCATTTTAGGTAAGGTCATGTGATGGTTCGCGTTTATGCGGGTAAGTTGAGAACCGACAAAACCTTGAAGACGAAGTAAATATTCCCGTTTCAGATAAAAACCGGAATCCCGGGAATCCCGGTAGCCTTCCTCAAGAAGGTACCGGTGGTGTACACTAGTACAATCTAGTACTGCAACAGGCAGGACACTGTCTTTTCCCTCGAATCCCCGTTCGGCGCGAATCGCTTCATCAGTTCAGTTTCAAAACAAAATCGTTTCGTTCGTGCGTATTTACTTTTTCCGTTTTTCCTCGAAATTCCGTTCCGTCCGGCTTCGAAAGTTCCGTGTAATGTTCCGTCCGGAAACGCGTCTCGTGCCGCCGGAATCGGGTGCCGGGTTCCAGTTCCCATTTGATACGCCGTACGCGATTCAGTTGGACCTGATGCGTTCGCTCTATTCGACGGTGGAAAACGGTGGGGTGGGTATTTTCGAAAGTCCCACCGGAACGGGCAAGAGTCTGACGTTGACCTGTGGGGTGTTGAGTTGGCTGAGGGACTACGAGGTAGCGGTGGCGCGGGAGTTGGTGGAGCGGATTGAACGGTTGCGGTCGGAGATCGGGCGGTTGGAGCGGGAAACGGCGGGTGCGGTGGACTGGATTTCCGGGCAATTTGAGACGATGGGAATCAAGAAGGAACTGGGGGAGTTGAAAGGGGTGAAGGATTTGATGGATGAGTACGGGAAACGGTTGGAGGAGTTGAAGGAGAAGTCGATGAAGGTGAAAAGGAGGAAGTTTGGACGGGTGAAGAAGGAGAAGGAGGAGATTATTGGCGAGGAAGACAAGCCAGAAGTGGTAGGTGAGGATGATTATCTGGTGGGAGATTCTGATGAGGAGGCGAAAGATGAAGTTGAGGAAGAGAATGAGCGTTTGCAATATAAACCGGTTCAGGTGATATTCTGTTCGCGGACCCATTCGCAGTTGGGTCAGGTTGTGAACGAAGTTCGAAGGACGGAATTCGGCAAACTGATTAGATTGACCACGATTGCCTCGAGGCAGAATTTCTGCATCAATCAGGAGGTGAGGAAGCTGCGGTCCAATGCATTGATCAATGAACGATGCTTGGAACTGCAGAAGAAGTCCGCGAAAGCGACGGCTGTTGATGAGGATCAGAACGCCAGGAAGAAGCGGAAGGTAATTGTGGAAATGTTCCATTGTGATTTAAGTTAAGAATCTATTTCCTTTTACAGGTCGTCGAACAGTGCTCTTTCTATAATCGACAAGCGATCGAAGATCTCAAGAACGATTCGCTGTTTGAAGTTCAGGACATTGAAGAATTGGTGACGTTCGCCAAACAGGAGAATGCTTGTCCGTACTACGCCTCGCGGGTGGCTATTCCGGATTCGCAACTGCTCATGATTCCCTACCAGAATCTGCTTCACCGGGGGACCCGTGAGCAAACCGGAATAGATATAAAGAATTCTGTCATCATCATCGACGAAGCTCACAACTTGCTGGACACGATTTCGAGCATCCACAGTCAGGAAATGACCCTGGAACAGCTGCAGCAAGCTCGGCTTCATCTAAACGCCTACAAGACGCAGTATTTTGCCAGGTTCTCAACCAAAAATCTACTGAAAATCAACCAACTGCTTTTTATAGCCACTCGACTTGGCAAACTCCTGGAAAGTCCTCCAGCAGGTGCCAAAGTGCAATCCCGGATGATTCAAACCCATGAGCTGATGACTGAGGGGGACTTCTTCAATCTCAATCTGCAGGAGATCCTACAGTTTGCCGACAAGTGTCGAATCGCTCAGAAGGTGCACGGATTTGCTCAAAGCGTGCCACAATCGGTGCTGCAGGGAGCTTCCAAAAAACGGCCGGAAGCTAAGAAGCCCGCCAAAAGCGCACTGAAGGACTACCTCAAACAGCTTGAGAAGGACGTGACCGAGAAGGACAAGAATAAAAAGACTGTTGAGGAAGTCAATCAACCGAATCCGGAAGAGAAACGGGAACCCATAATGAATGCCATCCGTCCGCTGTTGAGCTTCATCGGATGCCTGGCGGAAAGCTTCGACGATGGACGTGTTCTGCTGTCCCACAATGGGAACGACAGTAAAAAGTCTACTATGAAATATCTTCTGCTCAATCCGGGAGCAAGATTTCAAGAGATCCTGACTAGCTGTCGATCGATAATTCTGGCCGGTGGAACCATGCAACCGGTCGAGGAATTGACCGAACAGCTGTTCAAACACTGTCCGGAGCGGGTGCAACTGCGAAGTTATCGGCACGTTGTTCCGGCAGATGCCGTGCTCCCCTTGGCCATTTCGAAGGGTCCTTCCGGAAAGGAGCTTCTCTTCAACTATGCCAATCGTCAGAATAGCGATCTGGTAACGTCCTCTGTGAATCTCTGTTTATTACACATAATCTAACAATTTCTCTCGCAGCTCAACGAACTGTCCTCGGTCCTGGCCAACCTGTGCCAAGTGGTCCCGCACGGAGTCGTTTGTTTCTTCAGCTCGTACGACTACCTGGATCAGTTCTACACCAACCTGCAGCAGTCCGGTCGGTTGGCAAAACTGGAGGAACGCAAACGAGTGTTTCGAGAACCGCGTGGCAGCGCTCAGGTGGATAAAATCCTCGCCGACTACTCGAAAGCCGCTCGGCAGTGGAGTGGATCGCAGACCGGTGCTCTGCTGCTGAGCGTCGTCGGTGGCAAACTGAGTGAAGGACTGAACTTCTCCGACGAGTTGGGACGGTGTGTGGTGGTGGTTGGACTGCCCTACCCCAATCGGACCAGTCCGGAGCTTATGGAGCGGATGCGCTACCTGGATCGGACGCTTCAGCCTCCTGCTGGAAATGAGTACTACGAGAATCTCTGCATGAAGGCTGTGAATCAGTGCATTGGGCGGGCAGTGCGCCACATTCGGGACTATGCCAGTGTGGTGCTGCTCGATGCGCGGTACGTTAGTAGTGAGAAGATCCGGCGGAAGCTGCCGGTTTGGATCTCGGAGGGGATGCAGTGCGTCGAGCGGTACGGACAGGCGCACGGCAGTTTGGTGCGGTTTTTCAAGGGGAAGGGTGGGAAGTGATTTAAAATATGATTTGAATTGTGATGTTCGAGTAATCGAGGTTTATCTTATGATCCGGTTTGAAGAAGCCATATGAGTCGATTTCAAGACGAACCTTTTTCAGCCGAAGCAGACTATCTTTCGACTGGTGATGCAGAGGTAATTGAGCAAAAAACATGTGAGTATATTTTGTTATAATTTTAAATTTAAACACTTTTCAGATTCTGTTTTGCTGCATTTTGAATTCGGTAAGTGATTCTGTTCATGTTTAATGTGGTTTAAGGTGATTCGTTGTGACATCCTTATTCTCGGAACCACTTCGAAACATTAAGTGCACAAATATAAGCTTCTACGACACGTGCAACATTCAAATTGTTACTTCACTTCAGCATACATGAAGAAGTAGTAATTTCAGGTGAAATAAGGCATTGATTTCCAAGATTTGTGTAATTGAAAAATCGAAGTGGAAGTGCATGTATAGCCTACGTAGCGGCCATTTGTGGACCCTACAAGGAATCACCTTAATGTCAGTATATAACTCTTTGTCAATATTTAAAACCGTTTAAGTTGTTTTATTATTTTGTTTTTCAATCCTATGATCAGCGGCGCCGGTGGTTTAGTGTTAAGCGTGATTACCTCTCACCCCAGCAGGCCTGGGTTCAATCCCAGTCGGCGCCGCCGGGATGTTCTGAGGCATAACAACTCTGATTGTTCCGGAGAAGTCGATAACATACTATAAAGTATTTGGCTAATCTTAAGATAAGACTTCTTTCTTTTGTTAGTTAAATGTAAAGATGGAAATTCGGCTTACACTTCCAGAACACAACTAACAGTTGCTTCTGAGTTTAATTCCTTTTTATATGTACAATACTGTTCGCGCCCGTCGCGGGAAATCTTTCGGACACACGAGAAATGTACGGTTTTACACAACGAAAATACACTTTATTACGCGAACACAAAATTACATTTATTACGATAAAGGACGGAACAAACGAAGTGTCTTCCGCGACGGTTTATTTTAACTGATATTTTTATTTCTACGTACCTATGTGCCACACAGCTGACCCGATCGTTAGCGATCGATCGTCAGCTGTATGTACATAGGGATCAAGAGCGGACCGGCGGGAGAGATTCGCTCTCATACTTAGTTTTCTAGGGATGCACATGTGAAACTGTGTCATCGATACTTTTATCTTCTCGCTCTAACAAATACTGTTTGTTTGTGTGTAAAAAACGCGAACGATTGATGATCGTATGTCGAATGGGTTCAGCCCATTTACCGAGTACGTTACCCATTTTAATCGAATTGCGGTACGCTACACATACAAACACCTTCCTTTAGTTGTGCCGAAGAAGAAACTTTAAGGCTGAAATTTATTTCAAAAGACTCAATAAGGTTATGTTTATAAAAGTGTTTTCTACTACTCACAAAACGGTATTCTTTTGTGGTTACCGGTTATCGACTATCTTTCGCTTCTTTCATGCGATGCGGACGATAATTCCTGACCTATCAAAGCACAACATTAGTTACTAATTAACAAATATAGTACCGTCATAGGTGGGCGTTGGCCAAATTAGGATTTTTCAGGTATAATCCTAAATAGGACCTAGATTATTTAATACTCTAGTAACCTCAAGTCCGTGCTCTGTCACAATGTTTCATTGTGATTACTCTAAGGGGTAAAATATAAAATTTGGGGTGAATTTGAAAGAAAGGGAACTTGGAGTGTAAAGCGCACTGCCCACTGGACGATTCTGAAGCCTGGACAAGTGAGTGGGGTATGGGTTTATTTGATTGAACGTCATTTCCAATTTATATATTGATACATTCAAACCATTGGCATTTGAGATAAGACAGAGATAGGATGCGGAGGGCCCGCTTAGGAGGAGCGTAACCCATCTAATGGTTTCCATTTATTTAATAGTTCAGATAGGCTAGAAATGACAGGTTCATAGTGAGAACTATACTTCAAAAAAAAAGCTCCTTGAACTTCTTGGAGGTTTTGGGACTTCGCTAAATTCAAGGAACTTTCTAGGTGTTCAAGAATATTTGTAGATGTCTTAGGTGTCTTTCCAGAAGTGCAAAGATGTTCAGAGATCTTTGTAGAATTTAAGGAAATGGAAAACAATATGGAATGTGGAATAAATTCAGGAAACTTCGTAGAATTTGAGGAAATTTTGGAAAACCTAAGTTTTGTAGCTGTTCAGGAAACGTTGCATAAGTTATAGGATATGCTTCCAAACATCCTTCCTAGACATCAGGAAATATTTGAAAGATCTCCACATAGTCCAAGATATTAGTAAAGTTCACTGGATATTTGGTAGGTTGTAGGTTGATCAGGAAGTATTCAAAAGTTTTCCAGCTAATGGAATCAGATGGAATCTTGAATGATGAATCTTGATTTTATGGCCATTGTTTCGGACGGAACTCAGCGGTCAAAATAAAAAATGGACTGTATAGTTTTTTTGTTTTTTACATCCGTACTCTACGGTAACTTTAATATAACTGATCCTTTCTCTGCTGCCCTGCTCCAACCGGAAGACGCGTAACAAGAAAATCAAGTTAGGGAACTGTCAAATTGCGCTTGAGGGATAGGACATCGACCTACTCTACACTGAATCAAAAATACAGGTTTAGAATTTTCACTTAACATCCTCCCCCAGGAGCCGGATGGCTCAACTTATCCGTTTGGCTGGTCCGTTCTGCATCTTCTATGGGTAGAACAGCAATTTGCGTTGTAGATCGCTTGTACGTGCCATTGTTAGTTCGTACGGTTACTACCCGAACAACGCCATCATTTCCAGGGTGAGTTTTGATAATACGCCCCAGTTTCCAAGTTTGCGGTGGCAAATTATCATCTTTCATTATCACCAACAGTCCTTCACGAAGCAACGTGGGAGTTTTGTTCCATTTGCTGCGCTTCTGTAGTCCGGTTATATACTCACATGACCATCTTCGCCAAAACGATTGCTTTCGTTTTTGGATCAATTGGTAACGAGACAACGTATTTTCCTTGAGACCATCGTAGAACGGTGCGGCTATAGCTGTCAATTCTCGACCAACCAGGAAATGACCAGGACTTAACGCCTCATAATCCATCGGATCGTCGATTTGTGGTATTATTGGCCTTGAATTTAGGATGGATTCAATCTGAATCAGCAATGTTGTCATCTCTTCATAGGTGAAGTACGATTCGTTCATCACCTTATACAGATGACTCTTCATACTTTTTACTCCGGCTTCCCAAAGTCCACCTTGGTGCGGAGCCTTCGGTGGATTGAAACTCCACGAGATTCCACGAGGCTGACAAAAATCTTCAAGCTTGTTCTCCAGCAATTGAAATTTCAGCAACTCTCGCAATTCGGCCAATTGTCGCTCAGCGCCGACAAAATTGGTTCCATTATCCGAAAACATCTCACTGACGTTCCCACGGCGTCCAACGAAGCGGTGCAATGCCCCCAAGAATCCCTCTGCAGATAAGGAACTCACAAGCTCAAAATGTATCGCCTTAGTAGTCATACAGACGAAAACACTAACGTACGACTTGATCGGTGTCTTCGACCGACCTTGCTTCAACAAAAAAGGGCCTGCGTAGTCTACTCCCGTTCTAGCGAAAGGCTGAGCAGCGGTGACGCGTGCAATCGGCAAATCACCCATAAACTGCTGTACATCCTTCGGCTTTAGTCTGAAGCATTTGATGCACTTCCCTAGGACGCGTTTGATCGTACGCTTCGCATTTACTGGCCAAAATTGTTGCCTGATTTTAGCCAATAATCCATTTAGACCGACATGTAGTTCTTCACGGTGGATTGCTTCGATGACAATATCAGTAAAGTTGTTCTTCTCCGGCAATATCAATGGATGTTTCTGATCGAGCGGTAGTATGGCATTCCTGATTCGACCCCCCACACGCAGCAATCTCTCCGTCTTATCAAAAACAGGATTCAAATTTCGTAACTTACCCTTCACCGGTTCACCTTTCAAGACGCTTCTAATTTCATCGCGATACACTGCATTTTGTACAATCTTCACCATAGTGTACAGTGAGTCACGAAAATCTGCAATGTTCAATCTTCCACGACGAAATTCTGATTCGTTTCGCTTTGCACGACAATTACGGATAAACCGGGTTACGTAACCGAACACTCTTTGTAGTCGGCGAAAGTTACTACTGTTCTGAATCACTTCGTACAATCCTTCATCGGGCACTGTAACTACAGTCACTGAAATCGTCTCTTCACTCAAGTCTTCGGTTTCTTCATTTACTGTTTCATCAACTACACTTGATCGAAGAAATTCCGGTCCATTCCACCACAAGTCACCTTTCGTTAATTCCAAAGGTAGTACACCTCTCGACACCAAGTCCGCTGGATTTGCTTTCGTTCCAACATGCAACCAATCAGCATCGATGGTCAGTTCGCGAATCTCCGCAATCCGATTGCGGATGAACACTGGTTGGTTAGGCTTCGATTTCCTAATCCAACAAATCACTATACTCGAATCGGACCTTAGCACGACACGCGAAATGTCGATACTCAAGGTTTCGCGCACTGTTTTCATTTGTCTAGCTAGTAGTACAGCTGCACACAGCTCCAATCTCGGCGTGGTTAATTCTTCCGGTGGTGCTCCTTTCTTCTCCTTACGGTTCAGCTCCTTAAGCGGTGCAACTCTCGATTTGCCGCACAGTAGCTTTACTTCAACGATGCCATCAACGGTCACGCTACGCAAGCACACACAGCAACCATATGCTGCTTGCGAAGCGTCCGAAAACCCGTGCAACTCGAACACCGACGGATTATCAACGGTAACGCGACGAGGTATCTTCATGTTGTTTATTGCACACAACTCGGATCTTAATTTGTTCCACACCCTGAACTCTTCAATGGGAATCGGCTCATCCCAATCGATTTTCTTCCTCCATAGTTGTTGCATTACTATCTTCGCTAACACTATTGCTGGACCCAACACACCGAGAGGGTCAAAGAGTCTTGCGATATCGGAAAGCACTTGTCTCTTGGTTTGCGGTGCCGCACACTCCACCATCGGTTTCACTCGAAATACAAAGTTATCACTCACTGGGTCCCACAAGAGTCCGAGGGTTTTTATCACACCGTTCACATCACTTTCTTCGAAGCGCAGTTGCTTCTCACGGTCTTCTGACGGAACTCCTTCAAGAATCGCAGGATCGTTTGCACACCATTTATGTAGTTTGAAGCCTCCTCTTCCCAGTAAAACTTGTAAATCTTCACGCAGCTTCCGTGCCTTCTCTAGCGAATCTGCTCCGGTAAGTGCATCATCTACATAGAACGACTTCAAAACAACCTCACAAGCATCCGGAAAATCATTCTGTTCATCCTTCGCCAGTTGTACCAACGATCGCGTGGCCAAGAATCCAGCTGGACCAACACCGTATGTTACTCGGAGCAACTCCAAATCCAATATTGGTTGCGTCCGGTCATCCCGAAATAGACATCTCAAGTATTTCGTATGAGCAGCATGCATCACAACTTGCCTATACATCTGCTTAGCATCTCCAGTGAAAGCGTACTTCGGCAATCTCCACCGCAACACGATGTCAAACAATGGGCTCTGCACACACATCGTTAAGCGATAAGCTCGTTGTGGTTTTTGCGGATGCATCGAACACCACTCGTAATTTCGTCGACGAACTATCTGGCTTCAACACACAATGGTGCGGAAGGTCATATGCTCCATTGACCTTAATCTCATCTTCATTCAAAATCTTCGCGTGTCCGAGATCTAGGTACTCATGTACGAAATCGGAATACATCTTCTTCATTTCTGGATTTCTATCCAGTCGGTTTTCCAGTGCTTTGAAGCGTTTCTCTGCTTGGTTACGAGATTCTCCTAGGCTACCCACACCTTCACGAAAAGGTAATTGTACCACGAACCTCCCGTCTTCCGCTCGAGCATAAGTAGCTTTGAAGTGACGCTCGCAATCATCGTTCTCTAACGGATCGTACGTTTGATCTTCAATCGTCCAAAAACGCCTCATCAATTCTTCCAATCGTGTCATAGGCCCATCCACAGATTCAGCTTGGTAACCCTGAACGCTAACAACATTTGGAACGTTGTATACTGGTCCGGCAACCAACCATCCCAACAAACTTTCTTGCAACAACGGAAGATCTGTTGACATAAGAATCTTCCCATCCTGAAGCAACTCATAGAATTTCTCGGCTCCGATCAGCAAATCAATGCGACTCGGATTGAAAAACCTTGGATCCGCTAGCTTCAACTTTTTCGGTATCGGCCAACTAGTTGCGTCTAGTTTCAACGATGGTAATGCTCCAGTCACTCGAGGCACCGCCAGGCAATCCAGGGAGAAACTGCATTCTGTCGTTCTGGATTTCACAATGGCATTAATGTTGAACCTCACAATTGTCTTAGCTCCGTTAACGCCAACAACTGGAACGTTCACGCATTCCTTGCGCAAACCCAGCAAATCACACGTTCTTTCTGACACGAAACTCGCCATCGCACCAGAATCAAGCAACGCACGGCACCTGTGCGCTACACCTCTACTATCGAAAATATCAACCATTGCAGTCGCCAACAGTACTTGCTTCACCGAACGATTCGGAACAACAGGCTTTCCAGTTGTTTAGCCGCGACTAGATCAGCTACAGATTTTTGCTCATCTTCATGCTGCTGTATCATTTCCGACAAAGAAATACGCACAAACTGATACAGCTCCTCGAAATCTATAAACTTGGGCTCAAACGTTTCCCTTTTCGTCGGATCAACTAGGTAGATCCGATTGAGGAATCCGTTGAAATCATCATATGCTGTGTCCACGGTTTTAACATAGTTTAAGGGCATGAATGTTAAACTTACCGTGATCAGCATCGGCAGCATCAATAGCTTGTCGTATTCTATCAACCTTACCTCGGGTTGACGTCAAACACTCGTCCAAAGCAGCCACCGTATCAGCCATAATGATTTCTCGTAGCCGAGCTTCTTTTTCTTCTTTTTGCTCGCGCACACTACGGATCGGTGTCGGAACTGCCCCTCTGGGAGTGAAAAACAAAGGAGAACCAAGTGGAGAGGCAACGGGCGAGGAGAACAAAACCTTCTTCAATTTCCCGGAACGCAGCTGCATACCACTAAAAACTTCCTTATTCTTTTTTTGTTTTCGTTTTCTATGCTTCACTCAATCACCGGATCACCGGTGTCGAATTGTCAATCACTAGTCGCATGGCACTTTCCAACAAGCTAAATTTCCGTGCGACACTTTTTCTTCTTCCCTTTTCAGCAGGGATCACTCAATTTTCTCGGAAGCCGTTTCAAAATGGCTACCACAACGAATTCACGGAACGAAAATCAACTTTCGGCTCTTCCAGGCCTTTCAAAATCGCACCGCGTGGTTCGTCAATTGATAAATTTTGAATAGCCGTCTCAAGATGGCTGCCACAGCGAAAATCCACTACGCAATCGGCTCTTCTAAGCCGTTTCACATGCGCACCGCGTTATTTTCATCGACCGCACCACCCAGACGCCATTTCAATTCAACTTCGGCCGCTTATCGGATGGAACAATTTTTCAGCCTGCCCCTATGACTGGCTCAAAACACACTTTTCCAGCTTCTTCAAGAGCCAGAAATCTTTTATTCCACCGATTTACGATCGATCACTACTATTCCACTATTTTCCGCACGATTCATCATCCGGCTCGAAGGACCAAATGTTTCGGACGGAACTCAGCGGTCAAAATAAAAAATGGACTGTATAGTTTTTTGTTTTTTACATCCGTACTCTACGGTAACTTTAATATAACTGATCCTTTCTCTGCTGCCCTGCTCCAACCGGAAGACGCGTAACAAGAAAATCAAGTTAGGGAACTGTCAAATTGCGCTTGGGGGATAGGACATCGACCTACTCTACACTGAATCAAAAATACAGGTTTAGAATTTTCACTTAACAGCCATATTTGTACATTATCTATAGGGAAGACCCGTGCCTTGGTGATTGCTATATTGTCACAAATTTGCACTCCAGCAACTAAATTCCGGGCAGAAATTTCAATTTCTGCATATGCCTAATATGTATAATTTTTTTTCTTTTCGAATATCCTTTTTTATTAGTTACAAAATCTTGAAAACATATGGGTTTGGGATCACAAAATTATTTTTATATTAACATTTACAATGTTAAGGATTGTGCATCTGCAGCATATGCATGTACGTAATTAGTGGATTTGTTAGTTATTTTGACGCTTTTTAACAATTCTTGACATTTCCCATTTTTTAAATAATTTCTTGGTTAAAATCAACAGCATTGCTATCGATGCGTAGAAATATTTCTGATCGATTGGTGATAACATTATTAAAATTGGTCCAGGAGCAGCTGAGTTATTAACTTTCATAATTTCGTTACATTTTCAGTTTTCACAAAGTGTACCCCCATATAGAAATCACCGACGTAGTCCTACGTCGAAAAATTGTGCATCTTGAACATTTTCCTACGTCCTAAATGTATTAAATTTTATTCTGTGTGCACTTTACCTTGAAACAGCCAGAATTTTATAAAATTATAAAATCAAACTCTTAGAATTTAATTTTGGTTCCTATGTCAGAGATTTGACTGCTCAATAAAAAAATCTAGTTACAAAATTCATGAAATTACCTAACCCTGAGAATTTTCTTAAGTTTGAGATGCTTACATTTACAAGATCCCGACTATGATTTTATTGCAAAAAACATGAACAAACGATCATTGCTTGTTCAAAGGTCACAATCGTTGTTAAGGAATAAATATAATCAAGTTTATTGTTTCACCATTAAAATAATAGTAAGCCTCAATGTCGTATTATTGGTCACAGAAAAAAATGTACCCAAAAATAAGTTGCATTGGACGCAATTTGAGTGAGTTTTTAATAACCCGTAGTTTTGCAAAATTATAAAAAGTGCAGCAGGCCCCCCTTCGGCCCCCTCCAGATAAATTTTCTAGCTAGGCCAATGATGGTTAGGATGTGGGATAGCATTCCACTCTCGATTCCACTGCTTGTTGTTCTGGAGCAGTTCTGACGTGCAAATCGATTGTCAGAATTGGGCATAGCGGCGAAAGACGAATCGAACGATCTAGTAGCTGATTCCCTCCGAAGTTTCCCTCAGGATAGCTGGAGCACGCAACGTTTCGAACTTTATTCTTATCTGGTAAAGCGAATGATTAGAAATGAAATGATCTTAACCTATTATCAAACTATAAATGGGTATGTACCATAACATTATTTGCATGATGTTATTGCAGCGTTGACGCCCCCCCCCCCCTGCGGTCGCGCCTCCATAAGCGGCGTAGAAGATATCTGTGTACTTAGTGGGCCAAGTTTTGGTAAGTAGAACTGGTGCTGTGGGATGAACCAAACGTAATCTTACGGCGCCTAAATAAACGACGCAGGACGGTGGACATGGAAGTCGTCATCCGCTAAGGAGTGTGTAACAACTCACCTGCCGAAGCAATTAAAATGGATGGCGCTTAAGTCGTTTGCCTATATACATTACCGCTGGCGTACAAGTGGGGCAGCGCGTTCGCACGACTGCCCTTTGAGACGCAAGCGAGTAGGAGGATCTGGTGATTTGCGTTGAAGAGCCGCCACTAGCAATGAGATCTTGGATGACTGAAGTGGAGGAGGATTTCGTGTCAACAGCAGTTGAACACGAGTTAGCTAATCCTAAGCTCTATGGGAAACCTGATATATATTAAGCATTTAACCAGATACAACAACATACGTCCTGTTGATGCAACATCCTCGTATATATTGAATGAGCGAAAGGGTATCCGGCTACAATTCCGGAGCCTGTTGAGTATACGTTTGCATTGGCGTTTGCATACCGGCAACGGTAGCGCCTTTGTAATCATGGCAACATGAATCCTTTTCTTCGAGAAGCCAACAAGAGATATCAGAAGAGTTTTCTTTTCTGTTTTACAGTCACCCTAGCCATGGAAGTCTTTTATAGAGAGATTATGGTTGGACAAGCTGGTATAGCATGGTATTAAATTGCTGTGTCGATATTCTCTTCTTGGACCTTGAAAATCGAAGACTGGGGCACGCAAACTCTCAACAGCTTGTACCGAATCCGCAGCAGGTCTCCAAGGTTTAGAGTCTCTAGTCGATCGATGTAGGTAAGGGAAGTCGGCAAATTAGATCCGTTACTTCGGGATAAGGATTGGCTCTGAAGACTGGGATGACTCGGGCTATGCTCCCGCTTCGCGGTGGGGGTTTGCCTCAATGCGTTCCACCGTGGGTGCACGCTTGCGCGCGGGGCCTTCGCGGGCTTCCGTGTGTGGGTGTGTGTCCCGCGGGCGCTGCAGTCATCACCAAACAGTCAATTCAGAACTGGCACGGCTGAGGGAATCCGACTGTCTAATTAAAACAAAGCATTGTGATGGCCTCAACAGGTGTTGACACAATGTGATTTCTGCCCAGTGCTCTGAATGTCAACGTGAAGAAATTCAAGCAAGCGCGGGTAAACGGCGGGAGTAACTATGACTCTCTTAAGGTAGCCAAATGCCTCGTCATCTAATTAGTGACGCGCATGAATGGATTAACGAGATTCCCTCTGTCCCTATCTACTATCTAGC